ATAAATCTGTATTACAACAACAAAGAAAGAAGACACAAATCTGTATTACAATAACAACAACAAAGTAAGAAGACATAAATCTGTATTACAACAACAAAGAAAGAAGACACAAATCTGTATTACAATAACAACAACAAAGTAAGAAGACATAAATCTGTATAACAACAACAAAGTAAGAAGACAGAAATCTGTATTACAACAACAAAGTAAGAAGACAGAAATCTGTATTACAATAACAACAACAAAGAAAGAAGACAAATCTGTATTACATTAACAACAACAAAGAAAGAAGACACAAATCTGTATTACAATATCAACAATAAAGAAAGAAGACAAATCTGTATTACAATAACATTAACAAAGAAAGAAGACACAAATCTGTATTACAACAACAACAACAAAGAAAGAAGACACAAATCTGTATTACAACAACAAAGAAAGAAGACACAAATCTGTATTACAATAACATTAACAAAGAAAGAAGACACAAATCTGTATTACAATAACAACAACAAAGAAAGAAGACAAATCTGTATTACAATAACAATAACAAAGAAAGAAGACACAAATCTGTATTACAATAACAATAACAAAGAAAGAAGACACAAATCTCTATTACAATGACAACAACAAAGAAAGAAGACAAATCTCTATTACAGTAACAACAACAAAGAAAGAAGACATAAATCTGTATTACAATAACAACAACAAAGAAAGAAGACACAAATCTGTATTACAATAACAACAACAAAGAAAGAAGACACAAATCTCTATTACAATAACAACAAAAAAAAATAAGACACAAATACTCTATTACAATAACAAAAAAAAAAAAAGCTGGTCTTACAAGGCTTTGTTTACCCACCGTTGTAGTGATAGTTTTGGCTACGTCTAGACTTCAGAGTAAACTCCAACGTTTGTCATGCATAATTAGGAAGGCGGACTTGTATTTTTTAGCGTCTCCTAGCAACTAATATGGTTGAAATAGACGAAGGTATTGACGTGTTAGATACCGTGACCATCACATTTTAAATTTTAAAAAGGAGGAATCCCTGAATCACTCGGTTCTTGAAATATTTCTCAAGACCACTTTCTGGAGCATGAAATAACAGTAAATTTTGACAGGTCAGTTTTTGGTAATAAATTTGTCTCTTATAGAAAGCTGCGTTCCCATCGCAAAATCTAATTTTGAAAATATTCAATGGAATGAGAAATAATTAACAAACTCTGTACAAGCGATCAATAACATCAAATAGGAGTTTTCAAATAGTAAATAAGAAGTGCTTCACTATGTTCAGTGCAACCATCTAGAACAGATACTAACATCCACACTAGATTTTCGTGTGTACTTCATTTCTTACAATATAGAGCCTGAAAAGATTGATGGACAGACATATGCTTATCTGCGTGTTTCTGTTTATTAGTTGTTTTTGTCTTTTTTCTTTGTTTGTTATTTGGGGGGGGACCAAAGGAATTCCATTATATTTTCATTCGATTCTCTAAAACGATAGTCAGTAACGGACTCAAATAATTAAATGTGTCTAATTCCATCCGTACATTTTACTTTATATATTGACCACTATGTACGTTATTAACTGTTAAAGTGATCACATGTATATACGTTTTTGTGACCATTATGTACCCTATTAATTATTGAAGCGTTTACATGTACATAAGTTTTGTAACAGGTCCGGCATGGCCAGGTGGTTAGGGCACTCGACTCGCAATCTGAGGGATACGGGTTCGAATCCCCGTCCCACGAAATATGCTCGCCCTTTCAGCCGTGGGGGCGTTATAATGTGACGGTCAATCCCACTATTCGTTGGTAAAAGAGTAGCCCAAGAGTTGGCGGTGGGTGGTGATGACTAGCTGCCTTCCATCTAGTCATACACTGCTAAATTAGGGACGTCTAGCGCAGATAGCCCTCGTGTGGCTTTGCGCGAAATTCAAAACAAAACAAACAAGTTAATTATTATTACTTATTGAAGCGTTTACATGTGTATAAGTTCGTGTGACTATTATGTATTTTATTAATTATTGAAGCGTTTACATCTGTATAAGTTTGTATGACTATTATGTATTTTATTAATTATTGAAGCGTTTACATGTGTATAAGTTTGTGTGACTATTATGTATTTTATTAATTATTGAAGCGATCACGTGTATATAATTTCTTTTGTACACTTTTCAGAGATAATTCTTAAGTCTTAAGGCTTAGGACACCTTAGTTAACAAAGCATACTGTTTTGTAATAATTAACGTCTGTATTAAATATGTTTTACAACGTGATTTCTGTTACAGTTTAGCTACTAGGCAGAATGTTTAAATGAAGTTTAACAACTGGCTGATAAATGTGAACTGTAAATAAATAAAGGTGTGTACCTAGTGTGTCAGTACGTAGGTAATATTTTAGTTGATTTTTTTTTGTGTGTGTAATTTTTTATAGGATGTTTTCTGTTATTACAATGATCTAACTTAATACACTATGTGTTTGTAGAAATTTATATGAGACGTTTTATTTTTCTTTTGCTATAGGACCCGACAGATAAGTTTAATACCTGGAGGGTAAAAGAAAGTGGACAGCTGTTTCTTCACTCCAATCTTTGACTTTTCCAAGAAATACGTTTATACAATCTTGGAAATCAAAGAGGCTTCTAATTTTAGAAGATACGTTTGTGCTCGAACTTTGAAAGAGTAAGTTTTATGATACAAAGACTAAAAACATGGGCTTTTCAAGACATTGGAAGTTATTCATGTACGAGATAATATTTTGTTTTTTCTCAATTTTTCTTTCTGTTGGACTTGGCCAGTGTCCCGTGAAATGTTCTTGTAAATGGAAACACGGAAAACAGACAGCAGAATGTGGGTCCCAGGGGCTTGATAGCGTGCCTCAAAACTTAAAACTCGGAACTCAGGTGTTGGAACTCGCCGACAACAACATTCAATACTTACCAAGTCGTGTTTTTCAACAGCAGGGTCTGGTTAATCTGCAGAAAATTTACTTATCTGACTGTAATCTGAGTGGAGTTGCTAATGACACATTTTACCAACTAACCAACCTGGTTGAATTGGATGTAAGCAGTAACCTCCTCACAACCGTTCCATCAATATCGTTCAGGGATACTCCTTTCCTCCGTCGTCTGGATCTGAGCAAGAATCCAATAAGAACCATCAGAAATAACTCTTTTTCAGAACTTTCTCGTCTTCGCAGTTTAGAACTAAGTAATTGTCAAATCGCAAACATTGAGGTTGGTGCCTTCGTTGGTCTTGAAAGGCTAGAAAAGCTTACTTTAGATGGAAATAAGCTTAGAGCAATACTACAACCTGCCATTCAAGGCCTTCCGGTATTTACGCTACAACTTCACAATAATCCTTGGCATTGTGATTGTGAGCTTCGTAGCTTAGTGGCTTGGATTTCAACAAATAATGTTCCATACGGTGAGCCTCCTAGCTGCGATGGACCTTCCCGACTAGCCGGAAGGTTATGGAGTACTTTGCTGTTGGATGAGTTTGCTTGTATTCCAGAAATGATCACAACTAACACAGACGTTATCGTAGATGAAGGGGGAAATGGTACTTTGGAATGTAATATACAGGCGATACCGTGGGCTACAGTATACTGGGAAATAGACAAAGTTGCTTTGAAAAATTTATCATCCTCATCTTTTCCAAGTGGGAAACTTCATATTCAATATAAAAACTTGAAAGATTTTCAAACAAGTTTACTCACTGTGATAACTGTCACCCAAAAAGATCCGCACGTTTTCACATGTGTTGCTGAGAATCGAGCTGGAATATCTCGTCAAAACTTTACCTTATCTGTTGTCGTTCCTCTGGAACAATCCCCTGGATGGACAAGAGGTCACATTTTGGGGACCGCTGTTGGAATTTTCCTCTTAATAACCATTCTTTTGGTTGCTTTTTGTATATTTATCTTTCGACAAAGAGCAGTAATGACCTCATCAAACGGGAAGATGCCATGGAATCTCTTTCTGAGAATCATTTCTTCTAAGAAACAAGAGACTGTAGAGCCAAACGGTGTGAAGAACGAGAACGAAGAAAAGGAAATTAGTGCCGACGAGAAACAGCCACGTCGTCAAGAAACTGGAAGTAGTGGTTATGGCTCAGATCAACAAACACCCGATCTCGTTAGCAAAACCATTGAAGCGAATAGTTCAGCCATGTCCTTGTCCTTTCAGCCTTTCCAGCATCCACCTGTCGATCTGCTGCAAAACACGGTGATCAGTGAAGGATGGATTATGCCAAAACGTCCTTTTAATGCTACACCAGACTATTCCCGAATGAACTACACATACCCAGATTATGACAAGAACAGCGACTACATGGACCCAGATAACGTTTACTATCCACACTATTTAGATAGAGGATATTATGGATCACAGGTACCAGAAAACGACAGGGTTAGAACATTGCGAATTGAGCACGAGAACACTGTGGATGGTACTCCCGTAAGAGACAACTCTACTTCTAGGTTTCAGAGTCCAAGTTATCCCACGTGGAAAAGAAGTCCGTTGGTAGTGCCAGATAACACCGAGCTCCCTCTTCCGCCAGCCGAGATTCGTTTCTCACCAGATGAGGGATACGCCGAAGGCATTTATGAAGGCACGGTGGTGTGAATCCTCAAAAAAAGGGCCCCGTATAAAACCCGAGGGAAACGATTTTGCTCAGAGATTGTAACATACAACACACCTGGAAGGGGATATCGTGCATCACGCCCATTTCTGATGCGTTTTTATGTTGTTATGAATTAATGTTTATTACTATCTCTCCCGTACAACCTTGTCTTCTGTTCAACGTTTAGTGGATAATGGATTACGTTATCTATGCTTTATCGTAAATGGTTCTCTCAATATTTCAGCTGTCTT